CTGGAGGCCATCCCGATTAGGGTGGAGGCCATTGCTATTAGGTTGGACGCCATCGCTGTTTGGTTGAAGGCCATTGCTACTAGGTTGGAGGCCAACCCTATCAGGGTGGAGGCCATCGCTTTCAGGGTGTAAGCCATTGCTATTTGGGCCATTAGGTTGGAGGCCGTCGCTCTTAGGTTGGAGGCCATCGCTCTTAGGTTGGAGGTCATTGCTATTAGGTTGGAGGCCATCGGCATTTGGTATGAGGCCATTGTCAATAGGTTGGAGGCCATTGTCAATAGGTTGGAGGCCATTGCTATTGGGTTGGAGGCCATCGCTGTTAGGTTGGAGGCCATCGCTATTAGGTTGGAGGCCATCCGTTGGAGGCAATTGCTACTATGTTGGAGGCCACCGCTCTTAGGTTGGAGGCCATTGCTATTAGGTTTGTTTTCTCTTCATATTTTTTTGGCCTCCAACCTACTAGCGATGGCCTCCAACCCAATAGCCCTCCTAGTAAGACTTTGATAGGTCCAGCTCTGTATGTGCTTGGCGCCAATAATTGCACTTCTTCCTCGTCTTTCTGGCATCTTCATCAATGCCAAGTGTTTGATAACCACCGGTGATACTGTGGGCAGCATCGGACAAGGGCAAGTTACCATCATTCCGCAAAGCAGAAGAACGATGTCACTTGCAAGGGTGGACAAGCTCCCTGTGTCGTTTGTTCCTAGTAGCTTCTTGCTCCTAGTAGTAACCAATCGTGGTCTGCCTTCAGTTGTCAACTGGGACTGTCTTCACCTTACTTCCTCAGCAACAAGGACACAAAGCTGGTACGCTTTGCGTTGAAGCAACTACATTGTAGGCAGCTGAAAAGCTAGATGCGTGTAGGATCTTTCCAATCAGCAGCTGACCGAGAAAACACAAGGGATACGTCCACAAACCGTTTCAGTCCGATTGTCGCCCTTTGAGCATCTAGCTTGTAGTAACAGGTGCCACGCTAGTAGTAACAGGTGCCTTACTAGTAGTAACAATGTTTGCTATTAGCTTCTTGTTTCTAATAGCTTCTTGTTACTACTAGTAAGGCACTTGTTACTACTAGCGTGGCAC